GTCATAATGGGGATCCAATAGGAGGGGAAGAAGAGAATGATTAATATTAGGTTTGTTATGATACCTTGGCTTTTTCTGGAGGCTGATGGCTATCATACTGCACTACTTTGATATGAAATGAATTTGATAACCATGTTGATTTGAAGTAGAACCATATAAAAAAATAACCTGGTGGTAATTCAGCATAAACCGCCACAGTGCTTGAGAAAGACATATGACAGAGAACTTCTAATAATCCTCAGATGTCCATGTGTGTGTTTTGGGGTATTCAAAAGCCTGAAAAATGCCCAGATGTTCTGGATCACAGTGATAGTTTAGCAGTCTCCCTGGGAAGAATTTTTTTTGCACATTTTATAATCTTGTACAAATTCTCCCATCTCCCATTACAGGGAATCAGCACCAAGTTCAAAAGCTTTGAGCCTCTGTATCCAGCAAATCCCCTTTATCCGTGCTAATATTTCAGCACATCATTTAGTTTTAAAGTTAAGACTCTTGTGTTTCCATGGGAATATTTCTCTAATCTGTAGGCTGAGAGTGGGTGCCGATTTGATTTCAAATGCATTCATGCGTTGGCTAACGGGAATCTCCCATCTCAGATATTACAAGCAGAAAGTTAATTAACTAAGCCTGCTTGGATGGCACTCAGGATTTTCTAACTGCACTTCATGTGCCTTGCTGCATAAACTCTGAGCTTCTCTTATCAAGGTGAAATGGCAACAGACTTCAGAGTATCTTCCCTCAGTCAATAACTAGAGGTAGTCCTCCACTTACCGACCAAAATTGAGCTCAAAACTTCTCTTGCTAAGCAAGGCATTTGTTAAGTGAGTTTTGCCCCATTTTACGACAAATGAATCATTGCACTTGTTAAACTAGTAACATGGTTATTAAGTGAATCAGGCTCCCCCATTGACTTTGCTTGTCAGAAAGTCGCAAAAGGGGATCATGTGACCCCGGGACACTGCAACCGTCATAAATATGCATCTGAATTTTGATCACATAAACATAGGGAGGCTGTAATGGTCATGATTAAAACTGTCCTAAGTCATTTTTCTCAGTGATGTGGTAATTTTGAACAGTCACTGAATGAGCTATTGTAAGTCGAGGACTACCTGTACTTCAAAGGAAATGGTAAATTAAATGCTTTTCAAGAATCCACTGCTAAGAATGAGCTAAAAAAGCATGGTTCGGTGCCTAGTTATATGCTTAGACTTATTCTCCAGTGGTGGATTGCAGGCCGTACGCCTTGGTACGGGTGTACCGGAGCCTGCCTGGAGCACTGGATACCGTTCCAGTACGGTGCTCCGGAGGGCCCACCTGCCCTCCTGAACTCCTTATCTGTCTTTTAAGGCTTCCGCGCACGTGCATGTCGCACATAGCTCCTGCATAACGCTCCATGGAGCAGCTGGAGCATCACGGAGGCTCACAGAGGTGCTAAGACACATGCACATGTGCGCGTGTGCTACGTGCATCCATGTGGACGCCTCTGGGCCCATTCCAACCATACCGGAATTGGGATCCGGAATCCACCACTGTTATTCTCCTATTATAATTTGTCGGACCAGTTCAATCTATCCATGCGAAATGGCTAGTGGTACTCCACTTTAGGGAGGTGAAGGGAGTTGAGGCTCAGTGGGGCCACTTATCTGTAGCTGCACTGGTGCTTTGCAATAGATTTTTAGTAGCCATCTGGCCCTCATGCTAATTTCCTTGTGGAAGTTGCCAGAACTGCCAAGCAGTGGGGACTTGATTCCATCTTGATTTAGTTATAATTTGGTTTTCTTAAATAAATTTTATTCTAACTTTTCATTTGTATGTGGACCTTTTATTTCTGTTCCTTTCTTATTGTGATGTTGTAAACTCTTGATAGTCCTTAGGGATTTGATGCCTACAAATATACAGGTAGCCATCAACTTGCAATCATTCATTCAGTGACTGTTCAAAGTTATGACAGCGCTGGAAAAAACCGACATGACCAGTCCTCCCACTTACGACCATCACAGCACCTCCATGTTCATGTGATCAAAAATTCAGGCACTTGATAACCATTAAGTATTTAAAATGGTTGGAACATCCCGGAGTCGTGTGATTGCCAATGCAACCTTCCCAATTGCCTTCTGACAAGCAAAGTCAATGGGGGAAGCCAGATTTGCTTAATGACCATGCACTTCACTTAGCAACTGCAGTGATTGGCTTGACAACTGTGGCAAGAAACATCGTAAAATCAACCATGGCTTAGCAACCATCTTGCTTAGCAACAGAAGTTCTGGTCCCAGTTGTAGCCATAAGTTGAGGCCTATCTCTAGATAATACCTTCTTAAATAATGCTTTTTGCTTCCAGCATACGGAATGGTTATGGAGTGAAGCAGATACAGTGGATAGCAGCAGGGTTTTAAAAATAGATAAGCTGGGTTTGCAGATCATGAAATGTGACTCACAAGGAAAGATGCCAAGGGATATTCAACTGTTCTACAACTACGGTTGTTGCCATACTTTTTAAAGACAAAATCATGGCATAAACAGGTCTAGGTGTCAGGGTTCCAAAAAAACACCCCCAACGAAATAAAACTCCAAGGCTAGAAGTTCCTCAAAGTTCCACTTTATTAGAGATGTCATGTTGGTACATCTGGGAAAACCTGAATCTGAAAGCTTCCAGGTTTTCCCCACCCAGTTGAAAGTTCACAACCCTGCCCCACACCCACAAGTTCATCACATGGTCCAATCCAATCTTCACATTCAACTAGATACAATCTCCATGCAGTCCAATCCAGATGCAGGCAAGTATCCTTGACTTTCAGAGTAAAGTTTTTATGGCAAAGTTTCTACTGCTCCAACAAAAAAACAAAACCCTGTATTAACCCACTCCCCTTTTATTAAAATAAAGTAGTTGTTATTGTACCAATCCAGATACCAAGGAATCAAGGTACTAAGTCAAGGTGCAGACAGGTATTTATATGGCCGCCCATCTCAACATCATGCCTTTGGGTGGCTAGCAACAGCTGAAAAACGTAACATCAAAACAAAACCGCAATGCCAATAGAAGAGTTTATATGTAGCCCAGGGATGGACCGTCTTGGTGGTCCCTGAGCTTGCTCACAGACATTTCATTACCCGACTAGATAACGCCTTCACTCCCAGAAGAGAATGGAGTTTGTTCTCCGTTTGTATATACAGTAGCTTGCTTTGCCAGTTTTGAGGAGGGGAAATCAGAAATTTAGCTCATATTTTCTTTTCCATAAAAGGCAGACATGCAGGTAAATGGATGGATGCTGAAAACTTGTGACATATTAATCTACTCGTACAGAAATCATTCTGAAGCTTTCTTTCATGGTGTACAAAAACATTGCAATAGGAAAAACAACCACCTGAAAAGAACCATTAAATATCCCAGAAATCTGTTCTGTCCTTTGGCTGATCCTGAATGAATTAAGACCGTTACATGATGATGATTAAAATTAAAACCTGTCATTTCACTGTATGTGGGAAATGAACCAAAGTTACCACTTGCTGGAAGTATCTCCTGCATAAACCCCTGTTGTGTTGTCCCCAAGTATTTCCTGCACAAGTGCTAGTAAATGCCACTTATTTCCACGCCGTTGCAATCGGTAGGGGTTACTCTGGAGGAGCCTCGGCTGTATTAGCTTATAGCTAACATGGCAGCTTTAACTGCTTCCCTATTGCTGAAAAGCAGGTTACAGACACCAAATGTTTCCAAAGTATCACATTTCCCACTGGACATCTGTTGTGTGCAGCATTTGCAGAATGGGTTTGATTCATTATTATACATCGTGACCTGGGCTTGTTTGACTGAATGTGTTGGCACAGGCTGCTTGCACCTGTTGTCTCTCATGTTGACACACCATGGCTATGCAAGGAATAGCCTGTTTGTCCTGGAAGGAAAATGAATACGCAGACTCAACTTGCCTTGCTTTCAAAGGAGAGAGAAATGAGGTAATGTGAAATGGTTGAGGGAGAGGGGGAAAGGGTGACCATTGCTAAAAAAGCACCTTGGAGATGGAGCCTTGGAGGGCTAGATTGTAAGGTCAAAAAGCAATTTCTCTTTCGTGCAGTCGGTACAGTCACACTTTGGATTGAGAGGGTCTAACATATGAATTTGGCATATGAAAAGGCAAATGACCTTCAGTTCCTACCCACTGGATGGACTATAGTAATTTGAAGAAGCTGATGCAATTCCTTCAGTGGGAAGCTAAAAAGAAAAGTGAAAGATGGCAACAGCTGATAGCCGAGGGTCTCTCACTGCAGCACAAGGCTGGCGCTAATCTGCGTTGACCTCTGTGGTATTTCAGCTCCTTGGCTCAGCTAAGGTTGACAGCCAGTAATTGAAGAAGAGGCTGGAGCTGAGTGGCAGAGCACATGTTTTTGAGCCGATTGTGCTGGTTAAGCACTAGCTAAAGGCTCTTACATAGCAGGGCTTGCACAGACCTTGGGCTCAGCCCCGGCACAACTCTGGACAATTGGCGGAGTCAGGAGAAGGGGGATGTTGAACTCAATCCAACCCCCCAACCTCGACCCCAAGAATAGCATTATCAAGGAAATTTCACTAGTAAGGAAAATTCTGGGTCACTTGAGAATGTCTATATTGTGCATGTTTGGTGGTGGTAAGTGCAAGCATTTTATAAAATCATGTTTGCGACCATTCAAATCATCTTGGAATATGTCTTGAGAAAATCCTCAGGAATGTAAGATCTGAGCTGAAATCCCTGCTCGGTTATGAACTCACTTGGTGAGCCGGGACAAACAACTTCAGCATTTTTCCCATCTGTCATAGGAATGATAAATGTACGTTAGCCCTGTCCCATTGCATTTATGGACATGTGTGTGCGCTGAGGATTACCATCCCAGCCTATAGATTGTGTGCCACTGCTATGCACTGCCACCCCTTTTCCTCCCTATCCCTTTCATGCATAGTGATCTAACTTGAGCAGGGAAATATTACAACCCAAAACATTCCGGAGTAATAAATCACACCAAAGCCAGCTGTGTTGGGGCATGACAGAATGACTGATGATTTAATGCTTCTTGAAAGTTTTTTTTTTTGGTTTCCTTCCGCAGGGCATTGTTTTGAGAAATAACAAAATGAGGTAAAATAAGTTAATTTTATGTACACTTTACAAACACTCAGTATCACATGGCGTCTGCAGCAACCGTCACATAGACATTGGTATAAAATTGAACTTTAATGTGGCTTGGGCAGGTGTTCAACAGCCTGCACTTCACAATGTCGTCATCCTGAGAGTAGTTACCAAGTAGTAATAATAATAAGAAGTGATCTTTTCTGTAAACATGTTTAGAAGCATTTACGGTGGACAATGGATGGGCCGGCTTCATCGTATTCCTGTTTTGTGATCCACATCTGTTGGAAGGTGGACAGGGAAGCCAAAATGGACCCTCCGATCCAGACAGAGTACTTACGCTCTGGGGGGGCAATGATCTGAAAGAGGCAAATAGAAGGATTTAGCCCCCACGGGAAAAGCAACAACAAAACGAGATGCATAATTAACAAGAGCAGAACGTCACAAAGGATGATTTCAACTAGACAATGGAACAGCATTATGTCCCATCACTAAAGACACTGACTTAAGTTCAAAGCAATCCAAACTTGGATTTAAAACTATTAATTCAATCTTTAAAAAAAAAAACAAAAACCAACCCCACAGCTTTCTGGATCTCGTATCTTAAATTCCTATCAAGTATTGTCCCTCTATATTGTGAATTTCTGTCAACTATTGTAAATTGGGTTAATTTTTCTCCAAACAGAAATACATGAAAAGCAAGCTAAGGCATTCAGCAAAACGTGTAGGTAACTTCATCAACTACAGGGATCAGTTCCCTAATCTGTCTGAATCCTGGAAGATTTCAGAAAGTGTCAGAAGGGAAATGTAATGCTCCAATCCAGAAATACTTGTTCAAAAGAAATTCCACTGAAAGCAGTGATGTGGAACATAGTCAAAGCTAATTTGCAACCAAACTCATTGGTAATAATTCTGCATGATTAGCCCCATTAGTAATACTTTGGGTTGATTCCAGACTTATCTCATGTTCCATAGTGGACTGATTGCAATAAGTGGAACAAAAATGACTGTGCATTGTAATTCACAGTGCTGATTTATGGTCTTATCATCTGCCATATTCCACTGCATAGTTGTAAGTTGTGTAATTAAAACCCACCTTGATCTTCATTGTGCTGGGAGCCAGAGCAGTGATTTCCTTCTGCATACGGTCAGCAATACCGGGGTACATGGTGGTGCCACCAGACATGACATTGTTGGCATACAGGTCCTTCCTGATGTCAATATCGCACTTCATGATGCTGTTGTAGGTTGTCTCATGAATACCAGCGGATTCCATACCTGGTGGCATCGACAAAATAAAGGAATTGGAGGAGGAATATAGCAATGCCCAGCATACGAACTTTCCATAGGTAAAGGATCACGATAAGAAATGCTAAGTTGGAAACATACCAATGAAGGAAGGCTGGAAAAGGGTTTCTGGGCAACGGAAACGTTCATTGCCGATGGTGATGACCTGCCCATCAGGCAATTCATAGCTCTTCTCCAGAGAGGAAGAAGAGGCAGCTGTTGCCATCTCGTTCTCGAAGTCCAGAGCCACATAGCACAGCTTTTCCTTGATGTCACGGACAATCTCACGTTCAGCTGTGGGGAGAGAAGAAGCATTTAGTTGTTAGCCAAAGTCCTCCCAGAATGAAAGGGGTGGGAGGGTGAGGGGACAAACAAGCATAATAAAGAGGAAAGAATGCAGGCAGCTGGTGCATAACCCTGAAACTCAGTTTTAAAAAGCACATACACATCTGGCAGTAGCAAGAAAGCAATACTCACACACAGTATTTTATGGTTGTGATGGCGGAGTATGAAACTCACAACCTTCTGGGTCTGATGAACTTTGCAATGCAGAAGAGCTTGGAAGCATCACCCACGTTCGTCTGCATTTCTGTTCATGTCATACTCACTCTGTGTTTTAGTGCCACCCTATGCCCATGGATCCTTTTCCCACTCCCACTGAAATTAACTAAGGCAGAAATGTGCCCTGGCCACTTTTTTTCTCCTGTCTTAAGTTATTAATCTCATTCCCATGAGGGATACAGGCTTAAGTGACATCCACCTTATCTATTACATTTTTAAAAAATTTATTTCTAACCTGCTACCTTGGGGTATCATATGTTATATTCCTTCCTCCAATTTCCCCCCATAACAACTATCCTGTGATACCCCCATGGATGGAAAGAAGAAACTAACTGGCCCAAAGTTATCCAGAGAGCTTCCCTTATTAGGGATGGTCTAGAAACCTGAGTGATAGTTTCCTTTGTCCTAACAAAAAAAAAGTTCTCCAAGGTGCTGCCCCAAAGAACTAAGGGGCAATTAGAGGGCAGAGCTGCTGGTGGGAAGGTCTTTCCAATTCTAAATATGGACAAGCTATTTAGGATTAGCCAAGAACTACTAGAGCAAGAGAAGAGGGTTGGGAGTCTCCATCATTACCAGTGGTGACAAAAGAGTAGCCTCTCTCAGTCAGGATCTTCATCAGGTAGTCAGTGAGATCCCGACCAGCCAAGTCCAAACGCATGATGGCATGGGGCAGGGCATAACCCTCATAGATGGGTACATTGTGGGTGACACCATCGCCAGAGTCCAGCACAATACCTGCAGAAAAAAGGAAGAGATACAATTTTTAACAATGGAGGTTACATGTTTCACCAACTTGCAGATCTAGGTTGATACCATACACATAGCAATAGGGAAGAAAGAAGAGACAACACAGCTACGTGAGTCATGAGGGATTCCCAATACTCCCACAGTCAATGTTAGCTAGTTAAGAATTCCCTTTCATTAAGGAGTAGGCTAGACATGGAGGCAATGTACATTTTTCTGGGGAAAACTTTAGTCATGCCCATAGTTGAACTTTTCATTCTTTTAATGGGCTGACAAAGTCTTACTGCCTAGAACGGACCAGGAATATAGAGAGCCAATAAAGGAATGAAGGGAACATGCTATGCAAGCATTAAATAGTCCATTCTACAAAGAAAATCAAAAAAATTATATCTGAAAAAGCCATTGCAAATAAACCTAAATTAGCCTTTCCCAACCAGGATCTTTTCAGAACTATTGAAATGCAGTTGTCTAGTCAGACAATATAAACCAAAGTATCAGGAGTACACGAGGCTGAGAAACATTAGTTAACTAGATGGACTTAACAGAAGACAATTCAGTTTATCTCTGTTCCTAAACCCATGTCAGTGACAGGGTATCTCCTAGACTAGTTGGATTATGACTACCTTATTCTTAGAAAGAGGAGTTGGTGGGGTTCCCTTGGAATTCAGTTTTTTGCTTCTCTATTTCCAGCAACCAGCACTCACCGGTGGTACGGCCAGAGGCATAGAGGGACAGCACAGCCTGGATGGCCACATACATGGCAGGGACGTTGAAGGTCTCAAACATGATCTGGGTCATCTTTTCACGATTGGCCTTGGGGTTAAGAGGGGCTTCAGTGAGCAGGGTGGGGTGCTCCTCTGGGGCAACACGGAGCTCATTGTAGAAAGTGTGATGCCAAATCTTCTCCATGTCATCCCAGTTGGTGATGATGCCATGTTCAATGGGGTACTTCAGGGTCAGGATACCTCTTTTGCTCTGGGCTTCATCCCCTACGTAGGAGTCTTTTTGACCCATACCCACCATGACACCCTAGGAAGAAAGAGGGAAAAACACTTAGCAACTTCTAATGGCTATTTTCTATCCTACATATTGCACATTAATCAAAAGAGTATCAGGCTCTTCTTATTAAGTTCTTCACAAAATAGACAATGAATTGTAGAAGAAATAAAGGAAGTAACTAACTCAGAGATCATTTAGACAATGTTATGATGATCTCTACAGAGTGGCCAATTTATTACCTTGTATTCTTTATCTGAAACAGTGAAGACTCTTTGGTCTATGATGGACATCACTTTTTCAAAATAAGAATAGTGCAGGGAGTTCCCATTCAGGGACCTGACAACTGTCTCAAAATGTAACGCATGTCTGTGCATGATCCCCAAATAGTAAATCTTACGAAGTTAAGGGGACTTATATTGTCATGGTAATTTTAGTGGCTTCACATGGAGCCTCCTGAATCTTAGGAAGATGATCAAGAGTGGGGAAAGGAAAGAAAAACAATGAGTCCTCTGACCTACTAATTCCTCACTCTTAATCACAGTCCAGCAAAGTAAAATTTAAAGCAATATATGCTGCATCTTTCAGTCTGCCTATTGTTGAAGAGAAGCACAGCTGGTGAAAAGAGAAAACATACCTGATGACGTGGGCGGCCAACAATGGAGGGAAAGACAGCCCTAGGGGCGTCATCCCCGGCAAAGCCAGCTTTCACCAAGCCAGAGCCGTTGTCGCACACAAGTGCGGTGGTCTCATCCTCATCACACATGGTGTTGGCTTTCTAAGAACGGAAGAAAAAACAATAAGTCACAAGGAGGCACCAGGAAGCTATGCAAGCTCAGAACACAAAGACTACAGGAAGATTTTCAACCTCAATAAATTCAGTAGCTTTCCCTCACTGGGGGAAAGGACAGGGTGAAATAGTTCACCCTTACAGCTGTTCTCACTAATAAGTGAGAAAACTCAGGAAAAATCATCCATATTAAAAACACATAAAGCTCCTTCGCTGTTCATCTGCTGATTCCATTGATCATTAAAAGCTGCAATATCAAGTAACAACGATATTAAAGTACTAGATTATTGGTGGGGCTTAACCAAATTTATTTAGAACTAGGACCTATTTGTTTCAATAAGATTTACTTCTCCAGTTTTATAGTAGAAGGGAAGTCTATTTAAAATAATCAATATATCTTCAAGGCTATAATTTTAGCCTCTTTATAAAAACAAGTTAAATCTAAAGTCAGTTGCCTCCTAAAGAAATTATACATTGACCAGTAATAACTAGATCACCTTATTACATTGTTCATGTGTAAATATTACACATGTACACTGCAATGAAACCTCTTCATTTCAGTGATGCTTTTGTCAGGTAAGTTTGTTTGAGAAGAATACTGAATTTTGCCCTGAAGTGGCCAGGATGTCAGAAGATGGTAAAAAGAGAGTCGGTCCTTTTTGTTTTTCAGATATTCATTCACTGATTTTATTTTTTTATCATCCAAGTTGCTGGACTAAAATTTTCAAAACACCCCAAAAATGTTGGTTGAGGAATAGAGAAACAGTTGTCCAACACATCCAAGGGCACCAATTTGAGCAAGAGTTAAAATGTGGGCTATTTCTCCAAGCAAAATATATGATTTTCAAGGGAAAAAACCCCGGAGGACTTGATTTCTTAAAAAGCATGAGAAACACCAATTTTGAAGGGTCGCCTGTGAATTTTGAAATAATTAAATAGGAATATGGAGCCAGATTTCCCAGCATATTAGACACATTATTTACAGAGGAGCAACAAATAGTTTGTACTGAGGATATACTTTCTTTCTTCAAACTGTCAGGTACCCAATCCAACTCTGAATTACAGCATCTGACAGCTAGTTACTGTTCTTTAATGTTAGGAACTAAAGAGATAGGAGGCACAAATAAACCCAATCAGGTCTCATCTGACAGATATTTAATAAAATATGGATGTTTCCTTCAACAAACTGTTTTGGTTTGTTCTGGCACTTATACTTTTCCAGCAGTTAATTTTAGCCCATCCGGTTGCTGTCCATTTCCAATTCCTCCTAAGCTGCTAATAATGATGATTTGGCGAAAACTACTTTGTTTCCACAACTAATCTGAGCCTACATTTCTTGGACCATCGTTTTGGGTCTCCGCTGACTTCAGCTTTGGGTTGATTCAGTGTCATCACCTATTATTTGCTTGACTTTGAAAGCTTGCCCCTGGTTGTTCCAGCAAAAGGCAAGATCTTTTTCCCCCCCTCTTGCCATAAAACGGTAGTAAAACCAGAAGAGGCTGGGTGGCATCTGTTTCCACCCATCCAGGAAAAGCAGCAAAGCTGCTTCAGGATGTGATCATTTGTTGAGCTTAAAGCAGAAGAGGTTGCCACTCCACCCCACCACTCCCCAAGTCTCCTCCTCCAGTCCAGTCCCAAGAGTTGCTGCGCTGAGAAGCCGGTCCTCCTTCTCCCGGTCCTGCCTGTCTGAGCAGCCAACCGGCCAGGCACCCGCCCTCCGGCTGCCGGCCTCACTCACCTTGGGGTTGGTTCCTGGCTCTCAGCTCCGGTTGCCGCTTCTTCCCAACTCTGCTGGTCGGTGGGCTTCCGAAAGCCCGGCGGGTTTTATATAGGCCCTTGCTGGCTTCTCCCCTCCCCTGTCGCCGACCCACAGGAATGTCTCCATATTTGGGTGCTGGGCATCGAGACTGGCCAGGCGGCCGGACCGGAGCCCCCCAGGCCCCATGCTCGGCCGCGGGGCTGCCCAAAGAAGGAGCGCCTGGCCCAGACCCAGGTAGCACGGGCCGGGCCGTATAAGGACTGTCTGCCGGCGACCCCCGCCCGGCCATCAAAGCTCCCTTCCCAAATAATCTTCCGAGCCATCATGCCCGGAAAGGAGACAGAAGCCCCAGGAACGAGCTAGGGGGCGGGGGAGGGCATCCCCGCCCCACCGCGGAAGGAAGGGAGGAAGGAAGGAGGAAGCTGCGGCGTAGAAGGCGGGCAGAAGGGCGCAGCGGAGCTGGCGAGGCCGCGTCCCGCCCTTCCCAATCGGCTTCGCGGTTCCGCTCGCTTTCTGCTCCACCTCGCCTCCAGCGCTGCGGGGTGGAAGAAGCACAAGCGGGTAGCCGCGGCTGGTCAAAGAGGCTTGAGGGGCTTTCAACGAACTTAGCCTGGGTTGCAAAGTGAGCGCGGCTCGATTGAACCGCCATCCTTTTTGAGCATCTGTTTAGGAGGGTTGGAACACGGTTTCCTTAGGCGATTACATCGCCTTAAGTGAGGACAAAAGCGCCTTTTCTTAACACCCCCCCCCCCCAAAAAAAAGTCTGGGCTATTGAATTGAATCTTGCCCGTGGTCTAAGGAGAACCCAATTCTCCGGATCTTTGGCGGGATTGCTGACACTGTTTTGAGAGGAAATTTTAAATGGTCTACTTAGTAGACAAATACAGAATTTACAGACGCCGCCCGTTTTGCCACCTTGAAAAACCATGACAATTGGTAAAAATCCCCCAAAACCTTTTTACTCTATATATTCTTTTAAACCTACTGCGATGTTCCCAAAGGATTACTTTTACATCTCTGCTCTGAGGTTCGACCATGGATTCTCATCTCATTGCCTTAATTTACGGGAAAACCATGCACAATTTTTTTCTAGTATGCAACCCAAAGTGACAATGTTTTAGTTGGATTTCAGTAGATAGCATGCAAACTCTTTTATCTGCTCAAGCAACCTCAAAGTAATGCTTATAAAAATATTTTCAGAAAAAATTATTCTTGTAAAGCAAAGCTATTTACTGTTGGATTACATTATTGCATTAAGGATCAGGTTGACAATAAAAGTCAACATTTTCAAGACTCATAACTCCAGGTGATTCAAACGGGCCAAAACCGGATTAAGTATGTTACAGTTAGATCACCTTCACTGTTCTGAACATTCTATTCTGTCCTATTTGCAAAGTGGGGTTTTTTTAATGTTACTTTCATTATGTTGCGCAATATTTTTATAACATGAATATGTTTGCCCTGGACAATCATGGAGGAGGAATATTCATCGAAGTCTGTGGCTTCTGGCCAAAAACACCAGTTCTCAGAACAGTTGTCTGTTAAAGGAGCGGTCAAGATCAGAGTACATGGAGCAGCATTTCTGAAGTATTATTTGTATGAGAAGAGCAGGGTTTGGCCGGACTGCCAACCACTATAAAGGAACATGTTAAATGTACTTTAAAATGCTGTGCAAAATCAGTTTTATATATAGAGGATGATAAATACCAAAGGCTCTGGCTGGCTGCCAACCACATTGAAGAGTTACCATACACCATGGGTTCGCCGTACTTCATGCTATTTATACCACATGGGTAAGCTGACTTTAAAAGAAAAAAAATCTAAAGCAATTCACATCTAGTTATGGTCATGGAGGAGGTTAATGGCAGTTTTGCGATTGGAGGAAGGGTGGAAGTAAAAGTCCCCTTTTGGATGGGCAATGACAACAACCAATTATGGAGAAGATGAGATGAAAATGAAACCCTTGGAGAGCCTTCTCCACCTTGGTACTTGCCGGATATATTCGGACTGCAATTCCCAGGATTCCCAGTCATGATGACTGGGAATTCTGGGAGCTGTAGTCTTGGCATTCTTGAAAACATGTACTATCTGTGTCCTGGACAAGAGATTGAACTAGCTGATCTCTCGGCGGAACCTAAGAGGGCTAATTTGGTTTAATGGTTAAGGGACCAAGCTAGAAAGCAAATATAAATCCAAGTCCCGTCTTACCATGAAAGCCAGCTGGGTGGCTTTTGAATCGGTTATTCTATCTCAGCCCAAATCACCTTACAGGGTGATTTGAAAATAACCCTGTGAAAATAAGAAGAGGAAAGTATGTTGGATACATTAATCACCTTGAGTTATTTATAAAAATAATAAAAGCAGGATAATAAAAGGTTATGGACTGTGCCGAAATGGACAAACTAACTAAAGAAATCCAGGGAAAAGAAGAATCAGAAGAATCAGAATTCTACCAGATATGGGATAAATGATATAGGTGGATGGAAGAAAGAAACAAAAATCAATGAAGGAATATAACAAAACTCAAAAAATAATAGTTATGAGGGTTAAGAATGGTGAAATCCAAATGAAATACAATAGAAGGGGAAATAATATAAGGTGAGCGATATC